AGACCATCCTGGTCAACATGGTGAAACCCCGTCTCTACTAAAAATACAAAAAATTAGCTGGGCATGGTGGTGCGTGGCTGTAATCCCAGCTACTCACGGGGCTGGGGCAGGAGAATTGCCTGAACCCAGGAGGCGGAGGTTGCGGTGAGCCGAGATCGCGCCATTGCACTCCAGCCTGGGTAACATGAGTGAAATTCCGTCTCAAAAAAAAAAAAAAAAATTCTAGATTATTATTTTTGAAAATCAAAGTAGTATATGAGGATTGTTTTATAAGCAAAATATAACTTATATAGTTTATAGTAAAAATAGCACTGTCCCACAATTTTTTACTCCTAATCCTCCCCCTAAACTTTTTTTTTTTTTTTTTTAGAGACAGAGTCTTGCTCTGTTGCCCAGGCCAGAGTGCAGTGGTATGATCTCGGCTCACTGCACTTCTGCCTCCTGAGTTCAAGTGATTCTCCTGCCTCAACCTCATGAGTAGCTGGGACCACAGGCATGCGCCACTATGCCTGGCTAATTTTTGTATTTTTTGTAGAGACGGGATTTTACCATGTTGGCCAGACTGGTCTCAAACTCCGACCTCAGGTAATCCAATCACCTCAGCCTCCCAAAGTGCTGGGATTACAGGGGTGAGCCACCATTCCCAGCCTCCCTAAACTTTTGAACTATTATTTTCCTGGTATTTACTGCCATATTTCTCAACTCTACATGTTATCTTTTGATGGCCTATCATGGAAGACAAAGATTTATTGACAACACCACCACCATGTCCCCACTGTCATTCTCTGCATTCTGCTGTGATAGTTATGCCCCAACTTTTTGTTAAATTGTCACTTTTTTGGATAAACATGTGAGCTGAATTCATGGTTGAGTCAAAAAGTCCATTATGATTATGTCTCTTTTTATTTTTTCCTGGCGTTAATAATTGCTTATTTTTTATTTTTTGCTTAGTTTTTAATGTACCTTCGAAACCCTCCTAATGGAGCTGAAAAACACTTTTGAATTTGGAAGAGCCCTTGTCCACGGACTGGCTGACAGAGCAAAGAAAGACAGATTAGAGTGTCAAGCAGACAAGAAAGGCAGGAAAAAGGTGGAATGTTTCCAGGCTCCTGACAAGGAAAAGGGAAAACAGATCCACAGGGATCTAGGGAGCTGGAGCTTTTGAAATCAGCTGTTTGACCTCAGAATGTCTCTACAGAAATAGCATTGTCCGTGGTGGGTGGTTCCCAGCCCATCTCCCACCCCAGCACACCCCTAAGCTGAACAGCTATACAGGACCTTTCCAGAAAAGTTGTAAGACTGGGATGGGCACAGTGGCTCATGGCTGTAATCCTAGCACTTTGGGAAGCCGAGGCGGACGAATTGCCTGAGGTCAGAAGTTTGAGAACAGCCTGGCCAACACGGTGAAACCCAATCTTTACCAAAAATTCAAAAATTATCAGGGCATGGTGGTGCACACCTGTAGTCCCGGCTACTCAGGAGGCTGGGGCAGGAGGATCACTTGAACCTGGGAGGTGAAGGTTGCAGTGGGCAGAGATGATGCCACTGCACTCCAGCCTGGGTGACAGAACAAGACTCTATCTCAAACAAACAAAGTAGCGGTGTTGTTTTTCAAGTTTGCAAGAAAGTAGAAACATTGAAGCAGCAATAATTTTGCATTTACCTCGTACAGCAGTGCTGGAGGCAGAGAGAGTATTGATGCTTTCTGCTTGGTGAAGACAGCAGTGGGCCAACGGTAAGCCCTCCATCCCCCTAGTGGGTGAATGTGGGTAAGATGGACAGGAGAGAAAAAGAATCCAACGGGAGAAGGAGATTATGAGAAGGGAGAAGCCTCAACTGGGCTGAAGCCCTTCCCTGGCCTTAATACCCAGCCTTCTCCACCCCTAATTTTGCTAACCCTGCCCAGCACATAGTAGGTGTTGAATAAGTGATATAAGTAATAGGCTCTGTGAGGTGAGAGTACTTCTCAAGGGTGTGAGGATGGATATCCATAAGTCAGAAGTCTGTAATTTAGGGGTGGTTGATAAGCACAGCAACAAATGTTTCATGTATTTTGATCTTTCAGTTCATCTGGGCAAACACATAAAATCTTTGTATTGTGGAAGAACTGATCATCCCCTAAGGGCCCTACTGGGGGTTGGCAGATCTTGTGTACCTCTTCTGAGCCACCAAATCTTCTCTTTCTTCGTCACCAAACCCAGGAAGCGGTCATATTCCTTTCTGTGGGTGGTGGAGAGAAGAAAGATGGGGGGACACCCAGGGGTTACTAGCTTTTAACAGAACCACATTTTAGTTGGTTGGAAGCCTAGTGATGAGCAGGGATGATCACAGAGGCCTCACCTCACACCTTGTCCTGGCTTCATCTGGACTGAGTGGACCCAAGCGTGTTCCAGAGAGCTGGGTGGTGGTGCACCTCCCGCAGGCCGCCAGGGCACAGAAAGCCTTACTCTGCCCCGGCCTAGCTTTGTGCATTTTCAATTATTCTGTCCTGGTGGCTCCAGGAAATATAATTCTTAGTCCCCAGAACACCAGTCTAGACTAGCTCTGTTGTTTAACACTTGCCTCTATTCAAATGTCTTGTGATAGCTGTTTGCTAAATTTTGTTAACCTTGCCTTGCACATAGTAGGTGATCAATAAGTAACTGTATGAATTAATAAACTCTGATCCTTTCTCAGCGTCTAGCTCTGCAATGTGCCTGGAGAATAAGTGACAATCTTTCCCTGCTGTCACCACTCCTCCCCTCTGGGATGTATGCTGAGCACCTTCCAGAGTCTCTGCATTTCCGCGGGGAGGTGCTTGTGCACACACATGCACACCTGCACACACAGAGGCTCATACTCACCACACCTGTGCAGGACATGTTCAGTGCTCCTCTGTGTGTGTTAGCACAGGAACAGGAGAGGTCCTGTCTGCAACTTCTCACTCTCTCTCCAGGGTTGTGTCCAGAAATAGGCTCCAGTTACCTTTCAGTGTCTGCAGGCAACAACATCAAGCATCATGACCAACATCACAGCACAAGTCTTTCCTATGTGCTGGGCACTGTTTACTGCTTTTCAGTTACTTCTAGCAACAACCCTAAGAAGTAGGTCTGATTATCCAATTTTAATGCTGAAGATACTGTGACTCAGAGAAGTTAATTTGTCTAAGATCACACAGATGAGCCCAGATACGACCCCAGGCCTTTCCAACACATATCTGTATACATAATTACGCCATCATTCTTGAGCATCAAAGGGAGTTCAGCAAACAGAGGAAGGAGCTGGGGTTCTGAGACACTACCTGTCAGGACCACCAGGGGCCGCTGTTTCTCCATGCTTGGGCCAGGAACGCAGCCACTCCCCTACAGACCTCAGGAATGCAGCCCGAGCGTGTGGCCTTGGGAACACAAGGGGGTCCCACAAAATTCATACCCAATAGAGCCCACCTCACCTTGCTTCAGCACAGTCTTCAGCCCACCCTCACCCCCACAACTTGGCATGGGAACATGGGGAGGTTGGCAGTTGCAGATACCAAAGTAGAAGTCTGAATTGGAACACGTGATTCTTCTGCTCTGTCAGAAATTCTTCCAGTTGTAGGGCCTGGCCACCTCATTTTCAGGGAAATGGCTAACTGCTGGGGCCCTTCTGAGAGCAGAAAGCTTCTCAGAGATGGGCTCCCGGGGTGAGAGGACCCTGCTTAGGTCAGTGGCCTCCAAATTGGGGTATGTAAGATGATCTGTTGGGGTACAGAAAGAAAATAATAGAACCTTTATGTATGTATTTATAATTTTAATCTAAAAATAAGAGCTGATGCAGTGGCATGGGTCTGTAGTCCCAGCTACTTGGGAAGCTGAGATGAGAGCATTGCTTGAGCCCAGGAGTTTGAGGCCAGCATGGGCAACATAGGGACTCTCTGTCTGTAAAATAAGTAAATAAATGACAATGTGACTTCACTGTTTTGTTTTTTTGGGGTTTTTTTTTGAGACAGAATCTTATTCTGTCACCCAGGCTGATCGCACCAGGAGTGCAGTGGTGCAGTCTCGGCTCACTGCAACCCCCATCTCCCTGGCTCAAGATATCCTCCCAGTTCAGCCTTCCAAGTAGCTGGGACCACAGATGCCTGCCACCACACCCAGCTAATTGTAATGTTTTATATTCAGATTGGTGCTGGCTCTGTCACTGGTTTGTATTTCAAATAGTCCTGAGTCAGCAAAGAATGTGTGGTGAACTGAGAGAAGAATGGGGGTGCCCTGACAGGAACAGGCCTCAGCACAGTTGGCCTGGCTCCTGCTGGATGGGATTTATGGCGGCTATACCAAACCTAAGTAGGTAACACATAACTGAACCAGAGTCATCCTCACGGAACTGACAAGTATTCCTTCTAAGTATTCGTATGGAGAATCCAAGATTTGATGATAAAGTGATCAGTATCTGCACGTTCGAACCAGAGGAAGATGCCTGAGCTGCTGCTTCCGCTTCTTGTGGGAACTCTTAGCTGCCTCATGACATAAAAATGACATTCTAGATAGACCTTTTAAGGTACCCATCTTCCAAATTTAAATCTGTCAAAATTATTGGAAATTATATCTATTATCACTTACAATGAACCTTGCTGTAATAACAACGAATCACTGTATCTTGGTACAGTGACAGCTAGTGACAGAAGCACAGGCATACGGTGTGTCGGGGTACAGGCAAAACCCTATTTGGAGGTGGAGGCAGAGATCAAAAGGCCACCGGAGTATGCTGCAGCCAACAGTTCAGCATTCCTGTCTTTACCATTCTTGTTTTTTTTTCTTTTTGAGATGGAGTTTTGCCTTTGTTGCCCAGGCTGGGGTGCAGTGGTGTGATCTCAGTTCACTGCAACCTCTGCCTCCTGGGTTCAAGAGATTCTCCTGCCTCAGCCTCCCGAGTAGCTGGGACTACAGGAGGTCGCCACCAAGCCCAGCTAACTTTTGTATTTTTTTTAGTAGAGATGGGGTTTCACCATGTTGGCCAGGATGGCCTCCATCTCTTGACCTTGTGATCCACACGCCTCGGCCTTCCAAAGTGCTGGGATTACAGAGGTGGGCCACCGCGCCAGGCCCCATCTTTACCATTCTTTGTTTGGAGCTCAGGGGCTGAGCTGCTGGATTTGTGAAGACTGTTGCTGACATTGCTCAAGGGCTAGGCATTGGAACTATGACCCTTGGGGATTTTGGTTTCAATTCCAATTGAGGCATTTAAAGTCAGGTGGTTTTTGTTTTTGGTCTACTTTATGAGTCTCCAATTCTTGTAAAGAAAGGAGGGGAGGAAGAGAAAAGGGAGGAGGAAGCGGGTTGGAGCCTTCCATTGCGTGGTGTTCTGTGGCACTCCCTCGAGTGTGGACTTTGTGTGCATTTTCCAATCTTGCACAATGGAGGAGACTCCTTCTGGATCCCTTTTCTTAAGTTCTTCCTTTCAGGGGTAGATTTTTCTGATGGCATTTGTCTGAATCTTGACAGAAAGATGATTCTTATTTATTTTCTTTCTCTGAGACAGGGTTTCACTCTGTGAGTGCAGTGGTACAATCATGGCTCACTGCAGCCTTGACCTCCCTGGCTCAAGGGATCTTCCCACCTCAGCTTCCCAAGTAGCTGGGACTACAGGCATGTGCCACTATGCCTGGCTGATTTTTAATTTTTTAAATTTTTCATAGAGATGGGGTCTCACTATGTTGCCCAGGCTGTTCTTGAACTCCTTGGCTAAAGCGATCTGCCCACCTCAGCCTCTCAAAGTACTGAGATTACAGATTTGAGATAGTTAAATGAACTTTCTAAGAGGACTTCCTGAGAACAAACATAAGGTTGTCTGTATAACTTCTTGTCAAAGCATCAGTATTCAGTATTCCTTTGGAAGATTTAAGCATGTAGAGTCCTGGGTTTTGCTTATGGCCTCCCAGCTCAGACTCTATGAGCTCGCCCAGGAAAAGGGATTTTCAACAAGCCCATCCCTCCACACCCCACAAACTAGGGATTTTGAGAAACATTATTCTGTATAATGACATTTTTGAAAACTCTAGTCTTTCAAAGAGTTTATTATTTGAGTTTATTTCTCTTACTATGGAATAGGGAAGGCCTGGGGGTCGTTTATTCATTTTCAGCACAAGGATGAAGTGAGGCTCCGAAGAGGTCAGCCATTCATGAGTATGCAGGAAAGGTAACGGGAGATGGGGCTGGTCCTCCCTCGGAACCAAGCCCTCCCAGCCCAGTTCTGCTGCACACACTGGACACACGTGAGTGTGGGGAGTGATATGACACTTCAGTGAGGAGGGCCCTGAATTGAAGTAACTCCAAGAGAAGGGGCTGAATTTCTGAGGCCAATTCATCCCCAAAACCAGATCCCTACCTGGGCCCAGTGGGAAATCACAATCCCACTCATCTTCAGAAAGGGACCTTAGAATGCAAGGCTTCAATGCTATTCAGTCTAACCACATGACTGGCCAAATCCCTGGAGGTTCTTTAGCAGAATATCAGCACAATGGCATGTTGGCTGCAGAATACTAAAAAGGACTCTAGGCTGGGTGCAGTAAGTAGCTCGCGCCTGTAGTCCCAGTTACTAGGAGGCTGAAGCAGGAAGATGGCTTGAGCCTGGGCATATGAGGCTGCAGTGAGCCAGGATAGCACCACTGTGTTATCCTTCCTCTAGCTGGGTGTTAGAGGAAGACTCTGTCACACATACACACACAAACACGGGGCTCTAGAGTAGAGGCCAGAAAGTTCCTTCTCTTGGCAGAGCCTCCTCCCTGCCTCTGCTGCCCCTGGACCGCAGCTCCTTCCAGAAGGCCCACCCTGTCCTGCTCTGCCCTGGGCTGGTCCAGCAACCGTTGTGGTCCTCGGATTGCACCCTGGGGCTGCTTCTGCCTTGTTAATTATCACTCTGCACTGAAATGGTCAGGCGTCTGCTTCCCCCAGGGGACAGTGAGTCTCTTGGAGGTAGGCGCTGGGTTCCGTAAGTGTCTGTAAAATGAATAGGCTCCTCACGGGGGTTTCTCTTGTGTCTGACTTAGTCATCTTCACAAGTACGCTCACACCCCACTGAGACAGAGCCGTGGCACTGCCATTGGATGAACTGCCAGGGTATTATAAAATGTCGCCGGGCGCGGTGGCTCAAGCCTGTAATCCCAGCACTGTGGGAGGCCGAGGCGGGTGGATCACGAGGTCAAGAGATCAAGACCATCCTGGTCAACACGGTGAAACCCCGTCTCTACTAAAGCTACAAAAAAAAAAAAATTAGCTGGGCATGGTGGCGCGTGCCTGTAGTCCCAGCTACTCAGGAGGCTGAGGCAGGAGAATTGCCTGAACCCAGGAGGCGGAGGTTGCGGTGAGCCGAGATCGCGCCATTGCACTCCAGCCTGGGTAACAAGAGCGAAACTCCGTCTCAAAAAAAAAAAATGTCTAGAATGTCCATCTTCTGTGACACAGGGAACAGACAAACCTTGAGCCAGGGCTGCAACCTCAAATCAGGGCTGCATGGCCACTTGCCACCTGGTCACTCTGGGCCCACCTCCAGATATTGCAGGCAACACCCCTGCCAGGTAGGAAGGGGGCCACTTTATTTTCCTGCTCTCAGAAGCTCCGAAACCAACCAAGCAAGGCAAGTCAGCCATCAGGCTCAGCCTGGCAGGCAGCGCTCCTGACTCCCCACCCTTCCTCCAGGCCAGGTGTCTGCCAATGAGAGCCTGGGTTCTGCTTTCCCGCCTTTCCTGGCAGCACAAACCACGCTCAGGATGGTGAGCAATGCAAGTTCCAGGCATGCCTTTCTGCATTGCTGGGTTCCCAGGTGTCACTTCATCCACAGGGTGAGTCCTCCACAGCTCTGCGGGCTGATACACATGCAAATTTCCCCACGCAAACACTGTTAGGCCGTGTGGCACCTTTCCCACTGAGAAAGCTCCCCGTCAGCAAGCTGGGGAATGGGTGAAAGCCCATGCTGTGCCCGCCCGGGGGGCACACACTGGCCGGGAGTCTGGGCAAGCGGACAGCGCAGACTCGCGCCTCGAGTCCTTCCGCAGGCCTGTGGTCTGGCTCTAGGGAAAAGCCCATTTGCTCACCTGATCCCGTGGTGTTTCCACGTCGGCTCAGCTGTGCGCGTGCTGGTGTGTGCGACCCGAGTGGTTTCTACACCGTCGTGGAAACCCCCAGCCCAGTGGTTGTAGACTTTCTTGGGCCGTCGACTCTCCCCAGGAGCGTGATTCTCACTACGGGGGAGCGGCGCTTTATCCGGCGGGGCGGGCGGACACTCCTGCAGACCTACTTTGGCCCATTTTCTCTCAGTTTCCGACCCAGAGCTGCAGGGACAGGGGCGGGCTGCGTTTCCTTCGCTGAGCCCTCCGCAGGGCCGCCGCGCGGGCGGGCAGGGCCGAGGCTGCAGCGGGGCCGAGGCTGCAGCGGGGCCGAGGCTGCAGCGGGCCGAGGCTGCAGCGGGGCCGAGGCCTGAGGCGCCTGCGCGGGAGCCGACCTCGGGCGCCGGGAGCCGCGGCGGGAGCGCGGAGGGCTGCGGGCGTTAGAGAGGGCCAAGGCCGCGCCCGGGGGGACCGGGAAGCCGGGAGAGGAAGCTGCCCGGGGGCGGGGTGTTTTGTCACCAAGGCTCTGAGGGGCCGTGAAAGCTTTTGACCTGTTTTCATTGGGAGCAAATGACAAAGCTGAAAACGACGGAGGAGTGGGGCTGCGGCAATGGAGGCAGCCGTGTGGGGAGGCCGGACGCTTCCCGCTGAAGAGCGAGAGGGGACTCCCAGACCCAAAAGGCGCGCTGGGCACGGAGTGGGGCAGCCGCCAGGGGGCGCCCGCACGGGCTCAGGCTCGGGCTCCGGGCCCCGGAGGGGCGGGCAGCTGCGGGGAGCGCCCGGGAGGGGCGGGGCGGGGCGGGCGGGATCCGGGGCTGCGCTCTGGCCGCGGCGTGAGGAATGCGGCCTTTGGCTGGTCCCAGGCCGGCATTCCGGCCGGCGCAGGAATGTGAACAGTGTGTTCACTGCGCACTCTGAGCGCAAAACTTGGTTCTCCTCCCCTTGGAGAACGCTGGCCCCCTCTGAGCCACCCCTCCGAGCCTCTGGCACGTCCGTCCGTCCGGGTGGAGGACAGGGCCCCGAGGGGGCACTCGCAGGAGGCACCGGACAGGGGTGCGGCGGGAGGGAAGCCCGCAGGGGTGCGCTCATGCTCTGAGAAAGCCTGGCCAGTGGCTGAAAGGGGAGATAGGACCTGCCCCTCTTCATCATCAGCCTCAAGGGGCACAGGGTTCAGATTTCAAAATGTGCCCATTTAGGGAGCATATTGTGAATAACAAGACCAAAAGATGGGGGAAGAGTATTTTAGACAGAGGGAACCTTGTGGAGGAAGAGCCTATGATCCGACAGGCCCCCAGAGTGTAAGTCTGCTCCAGGTTCTCCCCATGCCTGCCAAATGCCCAGCTGAGTCACAATAAGGGTCAGGGTGTCCACCTCAGTCCACCCGTGATGTCAGTTGGTCTGTGGAGCCCCTCTTCTGCAAGAGGCACAGCAGTGGCCCGTGAGGAGTGAGAAGAGAATCAGGGCTCAGCTCGCTGCTGAGGGAGTATTGTGGGGACTGACAGATAATCCCCATAAAGCATCTGGCAGGGGGCCTAGCACTTAGTAGGTGTATACATTGGCTCTGTATACATTGGCTGGTCTCTCCGCACCTTCCTGATTGACGATTCCTCTTCCCCTTCGTGGCACTGGTGTCTGGTTCCGAAAAAGCAGCTGTGCAGCTCTTCATCCCTGGGGAGGGGCCTAGTCAAGGGGGAAGACCATGCGGGTCTAGTGGTGGAACTTCCTGATTTTTGTCCCTCCCTGGTTTGGGGGTGGTAGCATGCAGCACATGAGACTGGCATGGTAGAGGCCATCATACAGGTCCTGGAATACATCCAGGGCACCCGGTGCTGTGAGCAAGGAGGAATTGGAGCACAGAAGGGCCTTGCTTGCAGGTGCAGTGTGGGAGATTGGCCCATGGGCTGACAACAGGATGAATGAAGCAAGGAGGGTCAGGGTCAGGAAGGCTGAACTTGGGCAGTATCCAGAAAAGTGCTGATGGGAGCTCGGAGGGCAGGGACAGAAAGCAGAGCTGGGAGGTTGTCACTAGGGTGGTAGAGGAGACCAGACCCTTCCGCTGATTAGCTGCAAGGTGGGGCCAGGACTCTAAGCCCCCTACTAGAGCCTCACCTGGCTTGGCTCAGTGTGGATCTGAGCACACGAGGCCACAGGGGATCATAGTCTCTGTGTGTCCCAAATGTCACTGAGTGATGGAACAGGAATGTTTATATCCAGAAGTTCTTTGTCAGCTCCCCCTTCCCAGGGAATGCACTGGGACCTAAATTCTTGTGTGCAGAGGAAAAGTGCAGGCCTTGGAATGGCCTCTCCAGCATTGTTCCTTGGCAAACACAGGAAGATGGGTTTCCTTTAGCTTTGTGGTGCTGACATCTGAATCCGGACCCCTCCCCCAGCCTTTGGGGTCAGGGAGGGAGGCAGAGGACCAAGCAGTCGATGGAAAATAAACACCCACCTCTGCTTTTTTGACTTAGTTCATGTTCTTAGAATTTCCTCTCTTGGATTCTGGCTTTGTTATTTTAAAATTCCACACGTTGGTTAGGGTTGAGAAAATCCCCTGTTGCTATTGCTATGGAGAGGCAGCTCTACACTGGGGGCACAGAGTCTTGGCGCCCCCGGAGAAGTAAGCCAGCCAGCGGGCCTGCAGCCCAATCTCCAAGTGAGTTCCTGAGTCAGCCTGTGCGCGGGAGGCTCTCGGGGCTGGGTGTGTGTGTCTCTGTGTGAGCATGTGCTAGTCACACAGCTGGGATGTGGCAGTGTCTTGGTTCCAGCTCTCTGGGCTGGAGCCACACTGTGGTAGTGATGGCTCCATTTGGGGACTTCCAAAGGGGGTTCCAGGTGGGCCTGGGCAGTGCATAAACTGAGAGGACAACTCCAGCCCAGCAGAGCCTTGCCCCACGCCCACACACACATGACTCAGGCTGCTGCCTCCTCTAAACTCCATGCTGTGGACATCTGGTCCCGTGCTGCCCTTCCACTGAGGCCTCTGCCTTTCCTCCTCCTCTCTTGATACCCATTCCCTTTTCCTTCAGGGGATGTGTACAAAGATTTATGCACAAGAATAATCACTGCAGTGTTTCCTGCCTTCACAATTCATTCATTCATTCTTTCTTTCATCCATCCATTCAGTCATCCAACAAATATTTATTGAGTGCTTCCCAGATACCAGGCACTGTACTGGATTCTGGAAATACAGAGACAGAGAAACTGGAAAACTGGAAACAACCTAAGGATCCCAACAATTAGTGGCATAAAGTATGACATAAAGTATGTCCACATGACACAGGGCTGGGATGAGGGTGAAGCAAGTGAAGTAGGAGTACCCCAAAACCCCATAATCAAGACAAATGATATTTTAATGTGACTTTTTCAAAATAAAAATTAATCCCTGGTGAACCAAATATCAAACTTGTAAATAAAGACAGGCTCAGTAACAGTTCTGTGATAGGTCATGTTTGGACCTGGGGGAAAGGAAAAATTAGTCATACAATACATTGATAGAATGTCACGCAAACATTAGTACATGTGAAGGAAGTTTGCTTATTGACGTGTAAAGAAATTCATGGCATATCGTTGAGTGAAAAAAGGGAGATCATAGAGCCATACATAAAGTATGATCCAATTAAAAATATATCTAGGTACTGGAAACTCTGAAAAAGCCTATGTCCAGATGTTAACAGCTCAACAACAGCTCTTTCCTCTGGAATTAACAGTTATTTTCTTGCCTTCCTTTTGCCTATCTGTGTTTCCTGGCTATTTTAATGGCCAAGATGTAATATGTGTATAATTTTCTCAAAGATTTTTTTTTTCTAAGATGGAGTCTTGCTCTGTTGCCCAGGCTGGAGTGCAGTGGTGCCATCTTGGCTCACTGCAACCTCTGCCTCCCGGGTTCAAGCGATTCTCCTGCATCAGCCTCCTGAATAGCTGGGATTACATGTGTGTGCCACCAAGCCAGGCTAATTTTGTATTTTTAATAGAGACAGGGTTTCTCCATGTTGGTTAGGCTGGTCTCGAACTCCTGACCTCAGGTGATCTGCCCGCCTTAGCCTCCCAAAGTGCTGGGATTATAGGCGTGAGCCATTGTGCCTGGCCTCAAAGATATTTTTTTAAAAACAGGAGCATTGCAGCAGAGCATGCTGGTCTGTAGACTCCCCACATCACTCCTTTCTCAATGTTGAGACTGAGGCAAGGCTGGGATAACTCTCCCATTTCCTAGATGAGAAAGCTGGAGCTTGGAGAGGCTGAGGCATGTAGTGGCGCCAGCCTCTGAAGGCAGGAGAGCCCTTGGGGTCCACATTTTGCCCCATAGCATGGCTGCGGTCTTTGCGTGCCAGCTTACGCTGAACTTTCTCAGTCTTTCCCTTCGCAGCCTGGCTGCTCTCCACTGGCCTACCTCTTCCACTGATGTTGTTTTTTTCAACTGAGAACAGAACTATAGGAAGAAAGCCTGGTTAGATGTGACTGGTCCTGTCTCTGGGCCCTCATTGAATGACAAGTGGACTTGTGAGTGACTGACTGAGGGAGTGAGTGATTCCAGTTAGAAAGTATTTCCAATGTTGTGTTTTTCTCTTTGGCACAGACACACCCTGCAAACTGGCATGAATCATAAGTAATTCCCTAAAGCCCCTATCTGCCTGGAAATGCCTTGTGGTATTTCCCACAGTTCAGAAGCCATCAGCCCTGCATGCCAGCAGGCTTAGCTATTCCCCACCCAGCCACAAACTCTTGCCCATCCCCTGGGGAAAACACTGGAGGGAGAGGAGCTTGAGGCAGAGGTGACACCTCTGGAGACTGCCATCATTCTGGGATTTTGCTCACAGAAGCCTCAGGGCTGAGATCCTCCGGTAGGCTCTCTGTGAATTCCTAAGCCTGATGTCTTAGGTATGATGCCTGAGGGCCAGAAGAGAAGCCCTTTCTCTCTTAAGAGGTGGGTTCCCAGGCTTCAGCTTTCTCTCAGGATCATGTGGTATCCGCTTGTCTACTGAATGCCAAGAAGCAAGAGTGCTCTTGGTTCTAAGTGTGGGTATAGCAGGTTGCATTTCTCAAAGATGGTGGTAACACTATTGTCTCTAACTATGGCTACTATGTAGACATAACTAAGTTATGATCAGTGACATGCAAGTGGAATTGTTGTGTGGGAATCTCTGGAAAGGTGCCTTCAAAGGGAGGTGGAGGGCCCTTCTTGTCCCTTTCTCCATCCTGCTGCCTGTAATACAGATGTGATGACTAGAGCTCTAGTAGCCTTCTTGGACATTGAAGACTTGGGGTGGGGGGTATTTGTTAATACCAGAAACCCAGAAGCTATGAAAGAAAAGATAAACATATTTGACTAGATTAGAATCTTAAATTTTTGTGGCAAAGCACAAAGAGAATAGATGAACAGATTTAGAAACCATACTTGTAAATCAGAAGACAAAGGGCACAAAGAATATTTACAAATTGCCAAGAAAAAGATAAATGATTCAATAAAAATACTGGCAATTTATGGAATGGCAGTTTCAAAGAGCCAAAAAAATATGAAAAATCATTAATAGTTAGTGAAATGATTAGATCAGCTTCAAAAAATAAAAAGACTGGGAATACCTATTGCTGGTGGACCTGCAGAGAAATTTCACGTACAATGTAACTTGAAATGTGACTTTCTCCAGCTTTTAAAAAAATCAATTATATGGTCTGGCATAGTGGCTCACGCCTGTAATCCCAGCACTTTGGGAGGCTGAGGCGGGTAGATCACGTGAGGTCAGGAACTCAAGACCAGCCTGGCCAACATGGTGAAACCTCGTCTCTACTAAAAATATAAAAAACTAGCCAGGCATGGTGGCAGGAACCTGTAATCCCAGCTACTTGGGAGGTTGAGGCAGGAGAATCACTTGAACCCAGGCAGCGGAGATTGCAGTGAGCCAAGATTGCAGCATTTCACTCCAGCCTGGGCAAAAGATTGAAACTTCATCGCAAAAAAAAAAAAAAAAAAAAAAAAAAAAAATAAAAAATAGATAAAATTAATAATTTTACATTTTATAACTTGTATAAATTATATGTCTATAAGTATATTTTGACCACCAATTCAGCCCTTCTCATCTGTCCTGTACAGGATAATGTGTATTGCAGTGTTGTTCATAGTGTCCAAAAATTAGAATTAAAACGAATGCTAGCCAGGCTCAGTGGCTCATGCTTATAATTCCAACACTTTGGGAGGCCGAGGCTGGTGGCTCGCTTGAGGTCAGGAGTCCAAGACCAGCCAGCCTGGCCAACATGGTGAGACACCATCCCTGCTAAAAGTACAAAATTAGCCAGGTGTGGTGGTGCATGCCTATAATCCCAGCTACTCGGGAGGCTGAGGCATGAGAATTGCTTGAACCCTGGAGGCAGAGGTTGCCGTGAGTCTAGATAGTGCCAGCCACTGCACTCCAGTCTGGAGACAGAATGAGACTCTGTCTCAAAATAAATAAATAAAAGTAAATAAATAAAGGGAAGCTGAATAAATTATGGAGCATTTATATTTAGGAATATTATTTATCTATTAAAAATAACAAAGTAGAGATAAACCAGTGATTAATTTTCATTAGATGTTTATGAATAAGAAAAACAAGATAAGGAAAAGTGTATACATTAGTTAGGCAAAACAGTGATTTAAAACCTATGTGTGTATGCGTATGCTTTGTTAGTCTGAGTTCCGCAAGGATCAGTGACCAAGATGGGATTCCACTTGCAAGATATCTATTGGAAAAAGCTCCTGTGATTGAATAATGGGAGGAGCCTTCTCAGAGCTGCGGCATATTCACACTTAAGGCTGTATGTGTGTATATGGGTAGATATACATGTATGTATATCATATATGTGAATATGTATGTACTATATATTTATTTATATATGTGGTTATATGTATACGTCTATGCAAATTGTGTGTATACATATGGCTATGTGTGTGTGTATATGTTCATATACATTTGTATATGTAGGCTTAGAGAAAAGTATGGAAGGAGATGCAGTAGGTTACTATAATACATAGGTTATGGGGAAGGGGAGTCCTACAAAAAAAAAAGAAAGAAGGAAAAATTGCAGCAAATCCCCTCACATTTCAGACTTCTATATTCAGTTGCCCACACCTCACTTGAAAAATTTTAATGCTTTACACCAGGCACGGTGGCTCATGCCTGTAATCCCAGCACTTTGGGAGGCTGAGGCAGGCAGATCACCTGAGGTCAGGAGTTCAAGACCAGCCTGGCCAACATGGTGAAACCCAGTCTCTACTAAAAATACAAAAATTAGCTGGGAATGATGGCGCGTGCCTGTAATCCCAGCTACCCAGGAGGATGAGGCAGGAGAATCACCTGAACCCAGGAATTGGAGGTTGTGCTGAGCCAAGATCATGCCACTGCACTTCAGCCTGGGTGACAGAGTGAAATTCTGTCTAAAAAGAAAAAGGAAAAGAAAGAAAGAAAATTTTTAATACTTTATAAAATGAATTCCTGAGTTTGCCCACCTCCTCAGATCAAACCTACTGCCCTCCCCAGTCTGATTCCTGTTTCCCTGTCCATGATCTGTTTTCTTCCTGCAGGAAGCCTGTAGATTCTTTCCTTTACGCCAGCTGCTCTGGAGTCTCCCCATCATTTGTCCTGCTATGGGTCTTGCCCCATTTATTTTACTGAGTACTTGATGGACACCTAAATCCTTAGGTTCTGGAATCTGACACCCTCACTCTCAGGCTCTGCTGGGGAGATGTGGCTGAGGAAGAGTCCGAGGGGTGGCTCTTGCCCCTTCCTGGGGAAAGGTGCACGGAAGGCTGAGGAGGAGACCTGCCTTTCTCACCAATTGGCCCATCTGAGTTCTCGCCACTGAGTCACTCTCATTATCTCCACTTTTCTAGGGAGGAGGCCTCACCGCCGAGCCTAGAGCAGCACAGTGAGTCAGAGATGAGGGTTTTGTCCCACCTGCCCCAACCCTCGAGCTCTGCTTCCCAGGTCCGAGTTCCCAGGCAGCCTGTCACAGCCAGTGCCAGTGAGAGGGTGGGTCAGGCTTCAGGACAGCCCAGCACTGAGGACATCTAAAACAGTCTTCATTTATTTATTTATTGTTCATAGTGTCCGAAAGTTGGAATTAAAGTGAATGCTGAATAAATTATGGTGCATTCATACTTAGGAATGTTATGCACCTATTAAAGAGAATGAAATAGAGGTAAACCAGTGATTAATTTTAATTAGATATTTATGAATAAGAAAAGAAAGATAAGGAAAAGTGTTTACATTGTTTAGGTAAAACCATGATTTAAAAAATCTATGTGTGTATATGTATGTTTTGTTAGTTTGAGTTCACCAAGGATCAATGACCAAGAGGAGGTTCCACTTGCAACAGATTAATCAGGAAAAGCGTGTGTATATGAATATTTTATTCCATATAAAATATATAGAATAAAATATCTTTAGATGGAATGAAATATCCATATACTTTAAAATGTTTGGATTGAAATACAGTGAAATTCCCCCTCCCAGTTTGGTTGCCCTTTTTTAAAGGCAACAGGTGCTGGTTTCTTGTGTATACTTCAAGAGACGTTTTAATGCAAAAAAGAAAAGATGATCTTACAGCCCACAATCCCTTATCTGGAACCCTTGGGGGCAGGTATATTCTGGAATTGCGAAGTCGAGGAGTGTTGAAAGGTAATGTGTGTATTCTGTCACACTCCCAGCAGAGCATGTGATAAAATACACAAGTATTTCTGCACCAAGTAAAATAAATAAAGCCATAATCTTCCCTAAGTCTGTTCACTTCAGCCAGATTTTGCTACCAAATGTGTTTATGTCATTTATTTATTTTTTAATTGTGTTCTTTGGAGATTTTTGAACTTCATAATTGTGAATAAGGTAATGTGGACTTGTGTTTGTGCTAGTCTCTTTATTTAAAAATGTGTAGGAGCATTCTGCACCTACTGGATCAGACTAAAGAGCTTCTGCATTATTATTATTATTATTTTTTGTATCCCCATTACACTAGGTCTCCTCCCTAGTGCATTATACACATGCGCCATGGCCAACTTAGCCTGTCCATGGACATCTGGGTTGTTTCCAGTCTTCTCCTCAATTGCATCAGTGCTGCAATGAATAACATCATGTACTCATTTAACACATGTGCAAGCATATCTGTAGGATAAATGCCTAGTAGTGGAATTGCAAGGTCAATTAATAATAATGATAGTTGACATCTGCATGGGTATTTACTAAGAGCTGGGAATTGTTGTAAGGGCTTTACAATAATTAACGTATTTTAATCCTTGCAACAATCTCCTGAGGGAGATACTATTATCATTCCATTTTTACAGATGAGAAAAACTGAGGTACAGAGAAGGTTAAGGACTCGTAGAGCTGGAATTCAAATTGAGGTGTTCGGACACCAGTCTGTGTGCTAACCATTACATTTGACTGCCTTTTGAAGGTCGTGGGAATTAGTAACTTAGACACTGCCAAATTGTCCTCCGCATGGCTTTACCAATTCACATTCCCACCAGCAGCCTGCAAGCCTGCTTGTTTCCCTGCCAACGCTGCGCTGAATCAAACTTTTTGATCTCTGCCAATCTGATAGGCGAAAAGGGTGTCTCACTGTAGTTTGACTTGAATTTCTTTCTTTCTTTCTTTCTTTTTGAGATGGAGTCTTGTTCTGTCACCCAGACTGGTGCAGTGGCGTGATCTTGGCTCACTGCAGCCTCTCCCTCCTGGGTTCAAGAGATTCTCCTGCCTCAGCCTCCTGAGTAGCTGGGATTACAGGAACCCACCACCACACCTGGTTAATTTTTGTATTTTTAGTAGAGACTGGGTTTCACCATGTTGGTCAGGCTGGTCTTGAACTCCTGACCTCATGATCTTCTCTCCTTGGCCTCCCAAAGTGCTGGGATTACAGGCATAAGCTATCATGCCTAGCAAGCTTGAATTTCTTGTACTGTGAGTCAGGTTGAGTGTCTTTTCATCTAAGGGTTTTTTGGACTTCCTTTCCATAAATTGGCCTTTCATATCTTGTGCTCCCTTTTTCAGTTTGGTTATATCTATGACTTGTATTGAGCTTTTTATGTCTTAGGAAGATTAGCCTTTAGTGGTTCAAAAGGTACAGATCTTTGCCTAGCTAGTCATTTATCTTTTGATTTTGCTGGTGATGGGTTTTGGATAAAGTATTAAGAGGAGAGAAACAAAAGAAAGGGTCTTCAGTGTTGGGAACTGAAGGGAGGGAGAAGACAGAGCAGATCGCTGGAAAGAGGTACTCTCTGCCTGGTGAGGCATCAGGGAAGGAAGGTGATGGGGATAGTGAGGAGGGCCCCTTATGGGACAGGCACAGAGGGTTCAAATATGCCAAGTGTGGCCCACTGAGACTGGAGGCTGGGAGGAGGGAGGACTTCATGACAGACACAAGGGCGCGTTGTCCAGATACACTGCTCCAAGATGCGCCCAACAGAAGACACATTGCCCCAGTAAAGGACTGCCCAGCTGCAAGGCTGTGCTCAGCGGGCAGCCTACCACTGTTGGCTCCTACAGGGCCTGCTCCGCTTTTGGACCAAGTTTATTATTTTCTTTGAGTGTTCCTGGCCAATGACTGAGCAAGATGGTGGTACCAGGGCCCAGCTGTTTCCACATTTCCACAATTCCACTGTTTCCACACTTCCAACATGGGAGTCCTCTAGTGGGCTGTTTTTGTTCTAGATCCCTGGGTGACTGGCAGAGTCAGGTGTGCAGGTCTGAGAACTCCACTCTTGCTTTTGCCCCATTTCATTCACAGGTGTTACCCTTGCCCTTCCTAATCTTGTATTCCTAACTCCATCTCAATATCAGCTTCCTGGAAAACACAAGCAGCCCAGACTTTCAAAGTCTTTTGGTAAAAGTTGACATACATTTTTTTTTAAAGTCACGAAAATATATTTCATACTGTCTGAGCCTAGAGATTTGTTTGTTTTCTATCTGGTGGTGGCTATACATGTCCTTTGGCTTGGACATAAAGTGAAAATGTTGGCCTGTGTGTAAAGGCAGCTGAGTTTGGTCCTCCCAGTAGCCAGGGGGAATCTGACCTCAGCTCAGGACCTGGAGGAGTGGCATGGAGAGGCCAGTTACCACTGGGTGGAAGCATGAATTGGGTAAGATGTGTGGGAGCACCTTTGCTGCCAGCCCCAGGCCTGAGAACACACCACACAGAGAACGGGGCATAGAAACATCTTATTTGGCAGCGGCAGATGGACCTGGTGGTGGCTGGCCCACATCTCCCAGCCCTTCTCTGCCTGGTCCTTTCTCCCCACCTCTGTTCTAGTGTCCTGACAGGTCTCCTGCCCTTTGCATGTTGCCAGAGTGATCTGATGACACCACTTCTTAGCTGTAGGCTTTGGATGGTAAAACCTGGAATCCACCCCCTTGGCCCGTGACTCAAGCCTCTTTGTATACTGGCTCCTTTTCAGTCTCTTTTAACTACCCCATCCTTTCCTCCCTGTGCTCCACACTCACAAGAGCTCTTGCCATTCTGAAAACCGGGGGGCTCCATGTCCCTCTGTTCCCATCACTGCTAGTCTCACTGGCGGGGATACCTTCCTGTTTCTCCCCACCCCTCAAGGCTCCTCGGTAGATATAAATGCACATGTTTGGTTTGCCACGTTTGAGCTTCCTGAAGAAATGGTAGTAAATATTTGAAGTGGTTTTAATTAGAAAATACCTTTCATTGTTTACTGCCCTGTAGGACTACCACATCTTTGAAGATTTTCAGTGCAGAGACTGGACCATGTGAGGGTTCGGTTGTATGGGTTACACATACCATCTTGAGAGACAGCCTGAGAAGCATTTCTTGGCCATTCTTCTTATACCATTCCTATCATATATATCTCTAGTACCACAATCACTGATCACCAACAAAACCACTAATTTGTATCAGACATTCTTTTAACTCTTTTACCAAGATTGCTTGACTGTTGAAATGTGCTAGGATGTAAGTCAGCCAGAAAACACTAATTGAGCATATGCTGTGGGCAGTGCATTGTGGTAGGTGGCAGGTCAGCAGGTTGTTGTGAGAAAGCATGATGGACAACATCGTACCTGCCCCCATGGGAATGGATTGCTCAACTGGACGGGCAAACACCTGTCAGCTGATGGCCATGTATGGCTATGCAGGTCCTCATTGACAGGGGCCCTTGGAGAAAGGCAGTCTCCGCAACTGGGGCAGCCATGGAGGGCTCCCATCAGGAGGTGGTGATGGAGATAGATGTGGGGGAACGGCGGGGATTCGGAGAGACTAGAGGAGCAAAGATGGCCTCTAGAGAGAAGGTGGCTTGATGAATCACTCAGGAGGAGCTCTACTTATTTTGTTTGATGAGCCTAGGATGCATCAGATATCTCTTTAAAGCACCAGTTCTCAAGTCTGGCTGAATATTTTAATTACCTGGAAATGTTTAGAAATACAAATACCTGGGTCCCACCTCCAAAGAGTTCAACCGGATTGTCGTGGGGTGTGGCGTGGGCACTGGGACTTTAACAGCTTTCCAGGATGGTCAGATGGTGAGAGCCAGGCTTCCAGCTCACGCCTGTCAGGCTCTGACACTTCCGAGGCAAGCCACTCACGCCATCTCTTAAATCCCACTCACACCCCTGGCCTCAGGTTCCCAGGAGGATTTCTTTGCCTGCTTCGCATTCAGGCAGTCACGGGTAGTCCCCCGAGCCACAGGCTGTTTGGCTTTTCCTCTGCCTCAGTGCCCCTCTTCTGGCACTTTCCTGGAGCTCTGAGGAAGCAGTGGACGATGCCGTGTGGCCCAGCTACGGGCATTTCCAGAGGGCCTGGGGCTGAGCTTCCTGAGGGCACATCTACACACACCTACTGGGCAGGGGACCTGTGTGCCGGTCACAGATGTGGCGCCGGAAGGGGACTTTTCTCTCGCTGTATTTCCTGCCATTGAGCAGGACCTGAATAAAGTCCAGCTCCCCTTTTGAGGCAGTCTTTGCTGAGTGGTCTCAGGAATGCCATTCCTCATTTCAGGGAATTCTGTAGGTGGGGCTGCTGGCTCCCAGCCAGTGCGTCTAATGGTGTACATGCACCAGTCACAGTTTGAGCCCCTCCTGGAGGCCACGACTCTGCCTCCTCTTCAGCAGTGCAGCAGGCATCCGATCGGCTGTAGGAAAGAGGACAGAGGGTTGACATGATTTTCTGGCAAGAAAGATTGCCTCACTCGGGATTTACGATCAAGGTGGGAGATAAAACGCTCTGGCTCTTGAGGCCTTTTCATTTAGTTATTAATTCAAAAATATCTGTAGGGATTTTGTTTTTAAATGATAAATATTCTTTCTTAAAAGAAAAAAATGCAAATAGCAACATACCCAGAAGAAATGGAAAACCACTGGCCAGAGAAAGCCTTTGGCATTAATGCTTTCCGGGCCTCGGAGAAACCCATTTCTGCTGGCTCTGAGTGTGTGTTTCTCTGGGCAGGGGCAGGGATAACATGACCCTTGAAAGCACTCGAAGCCCTGGGTTACATAAGTAATGTGATGACTGTCTCCGCAGAGCCCCTCTAGAGACATCCCACCGCCCTGCCCTCCTGGAAAGAACGTTCAGCCTGTCCCACACCAGAACCCATTCAAGGAGAGAGGAATGCCGAGATAGTGGCTCATCTTCCTCCGTCCCAGAGAGGCCTCGGAGTAGTCCTCTCTGTTGCTTCACAGCCCTCCAACTATGCGAAGAATGCGAACCATTTCCCATGTGACTGGCAACCATGAAGCAATTCTGAGCCCAACCTCCCCAAATATCTGCTTTGCAAACAGATAAAACAGAGAAGCATCCTGAAAATGTGCTGTTGGGTCATTCACCTTAGGCGGTTGTGCTGTCTGCTTGCCTACCAGGGGGGTTTCTGCTTCCACAGTCCAGCCTGGAGCTGCTGGGGAGCTAGTTTGCGATGTGGCCATGTTCCTTAAGGGGGCAGAACACAGAAAACTCTCAGGAAGGGGCTTCTCAAGGAAATGGGGACCAAGCGACGCTGCGGGCTCTTTGAAGGGATCTGGGTCCCATCCCAGTGCTGGACTCATTGCTGGCCAGTCCTTGGGGTCACCTGGGAGCCCTTTGGCTCCTGAGATGTCTGGGCATGGGGCTGCCTTCACCAGCCACAAGAACCCAAACCCACCTCAACCAGCCTTTGGCATCTCCAGTCTGCACCAGCTCTAATTTTGTGTCCTGAGTGGGTGGAGGCAGTGGCAGGGGGAGTGCATGCCAAGCCTGGCAGAGGTAAGGAAGAGGAAGAGGAAGAGGACTTAACTTTCTCAGTAGCTTCAGCCTTCCGAGAAACTCTAGAATGCCTTGTTGCACTATGGCAGGCATAATCAGGTCCCAGTGACCTACATAACCTTCCAGACACCGGGCGAGCGGGAGCCCTGACTCATGTCAGGGGAGCCTGACAGAGGAAGGGTGGGGGCAGGGAGGATTTATAATCCTGAGACAGTGAAACCACCTAAATATTTAGTGATGACTGAGTCACTGTATGTCCACAGGGTGGAATATTATGTCAAAGTGATTAGTACAAAGACTATTTAGCAATATTGCGAGTGTTTATGATATAGTATTAAGTGAACAAAAGAAAGATATATGCCTTTATGGCACCTGAACAAGAGAAGACTAGAAGAGGATTTCAAAAAATAACAGCTGTGGCCGGGTGCGGTGGCTCATGCCTGTAATCCCAGCACTTTGGGAGGCCGGGGTGGGCAGATCATGAAGTCAGGAGATCGAGACCATCCTGGCCAACATGGTGAAACCCCGTCTATAATAAAAATACAAAAATTAGCTGGGCATGGTGGTGTGCTCATGTAATCCCAGCTACTTGAGAGGCGGAGGCAGAAGAATAGCTTGAACCAAGGAGGTGGAGGTTGCAGTGAGCCAAGATCGCACCACTGGACTTTAGCCAGACTCCGTCTCAAAAAAAAAAAAAAAAAAAGAAACCAGTTGCTCTGCTACAGTGGTATCATTACATTAAGAACCTGATTCTTCGAAAAGAAAGCAGCTTTACAGTCAGAGCTGGACTAGTAGCTCAGATCTATTTCTTACTAGAAACAATCTTGACAGGTAGCTTAATGCGATTGGCTTTCCAACTGTAAAATGGGTACAGCAATTCCTGCTTTACAAAATTCTTGTGAAGATAAATCTGATTGTGCATTTCTTCCCTTCTTGCCTTCCTTTCTTCCTACTCTCTCCCTCTACATATTTTTCACTAATACCGCACAACTCAGTTGCCCACAGAGGATTCCACAAGTGAATCATCCTTGGGTCTGCTTAAATCCCTTTTGCTCTAGGGGAGGTGTATTGGCCCGTTTCTGCTCTAAGCAGAGCTGTGGATGAGGAGGGGTGCTAATGATGAGACGGTCTGGGTGGGCTTGGCAGGGGGAGGCTGGGCTGGTCCTCGCTATCAGAGCAGCCTCAGTGTTGTGCATTGCCCGCCCAGACAAAGTCATAAAAACCCTGGAGGTTGAAGCAGGAGTTTCGGAGCCTCCCTGACTGATACCACACTGAGCAGACCCCTTTCCTGTCTCTGCTGCCATGGCCTGGCTCAAGCTCTCTTTTTAAAAAAAATATTTTTGTATTGACAAATACAAATTGTATATATTGGGCCGGGCGTGGTGGCTCAAGCCTGTAATCCCAGCACTTTGGGAGGCCGAGGCGGGTGGATCACGAGGTCAAGAGATCGAGACCATCCTGGTCAACATGGTGAAACCCCGTCTCTACTAAAAACTATAAAAAATTAGCTGGGCATGGTGGCGCGTGCCTGTAATCCCAGCTACTCAGGAGGCTGGGGCAGGAGAATTGCCTGAACCCAGGAGGCGGAGGTTGCGGTGAGCCGAGATCGCGCCATTGCACTCCAGCCTGGGTAACAAGAGCGAAACTCCGTCCCTAAAAAAAAAATAAAAATAAAAAAAATAAAAAAATAAAAAAAATTGTATATATTTATGGTAAACAACATGGTGTTTGGAAATATGTATACATTGTGGAATGACCAAGTAGAGCTAATGAACATGTATGCCTTAGCTCATACTAATCATTGTGTTGGTGGGGAGGGGCAGAGGGGAAACGTAAAATCCACTCTTAGCAATTTTCGTGTATACAAAGCATTCTTATTGTAGTCACCATAGTGTACAATAGGTCTCTTGAGCTTATTCCTCCTAACTGAAATTTCGTATCTTTTGATCAACATGCTGCAAATCCCTCCCAAATCAGACCCTCTTACCGATAGCAAGATCTAAGTTTCCCCAGGCCTGAGTCAGATGCCACTGGTGGACAATTGACGTGACCAATGGCAAGTGAACCTTCCCTTCCCTTCCCTTCCCTTCCCTTCCCTTCCCTCCCCTTCTGTCTCCTTCCCTCCCCTCCCCTCTAATGTGATGTCCCTGTGATGTCCTCTCTCCCTTGTTTGTCCGAAGGACTCCTATTCAACCTTCACAGCCTTTTTAGGGGTCCCTTTCCTCTGTGAAACTGTCTTGAACTCTTTGTAAAGGGTTAATCCCACCTTCCTCTCTATCTTGAATCACACATTTAATTGAATCACACATTTAATCATGCAAAACCCAAAGCCTCCTGTTTCCTTGTCTGTCTCCTTGCCGAGGTGGTCTCTTCGGGCCTGGCACATATCTAATTCAGTTCAGGATCCTGGATCCTTCCGCAGTAGTTGGAATAGGAAAGTGCTCCACGTTAATGAAGATGCAGTCGCTAGCTATTGTTTATGAAGTGCTCTCTGCGCATTACCCATTCAATCCTTACATCCACTCTAAGAGGAAGAAACTTTTGACACACGTCTTTTAGGCGTGAGAAAACTGAGTCTCAGAGAGGGTAACTCCTTTGCCAACAGTAGATAAGTGGAGGAGCAGATTTGAACCCTGGCTGCCTGACTTCTGTCCTAGGCCCTCCCCTGCTCACTTCCCAGTCTCCTGAGTACAAAGTTGACCCCTCAGTGGGGTGTACAGTGGGCCCTGGCCTGAAAGAGGTCAAGGGACTCCTGGGCACCAGGTGCAGCAGCGGCTTCATGCCTGGCTGTGGAGCACCCGATCTTGCCCTTTCAAGGTTATGGTGTGATGCTGGGGAGCGGGGTGGGAAACAAGAGAACAGAGAAAATAGAAGTTGAGTCAGATGCCCTGTGGAATTTCTGGCCTTTATTGAATTCTGGGAAGAGAAAAAAAAATGGCTATGTTTATTCCAAGTATGTTGAGATAATAAGGAGCTCTTTACTGTTGATATGCAAAAATTTCTGGCAGCCAGCACCTGCAAGCAAGAGGCCAGGAATCTGTGAGACCCAGGCACCCTAAGCTGGAGCCCCAGGCTCCACAGAAGGGAAGCTGGGCCAAGCAGTGAGAAGGGAAGTGGTGGACATGACTGTCCTCAAAGCCCCAGCATTTCCTGCAGCAGAATTTCATACCTGACCCTGGAATGTGGGCAAGCCCCTCCTGCACGGAAAGGGAAGTGAACAGGCTGCCTCCCTTTGTCCCTCTGGACACCCCACTCCTTGGCTCTCCAGGCTCATGAACCCTTTTTCTTTGGGAGCATTGGGCCATCTAGTAGCAAAGCCTCACTCCTCAGCAGCCCTCTCATCTGAGGAGAGGCTCTGCTGGCTCGGAGCTCTGGAGAAATACATTGAGTTGCTTTCAGAATCCCTAAACTCCCCATGCTACCCCTTGTTCAGGACAGATATGATCAAAGTCAAAAAAGCACAAGAGACCCAGATAATAGGTAATGGCATGTTTCTGGGGGATGAGGGTGGAGGGACAGAGATAACAATGGCTTCAGCCTTCCCATTCCCATGCTCTCTGGAATGCTATTTCTTTATGCAACCTCAGACATCTGAGTTGAAAATTGAAAAAAGGCAATTAGCCCTGTCCATGCATTTAAATGTCCATGAATTCAGTCAACAAACATTTGTTCATTCATTAAATGTGTGCCCTGGGGCTGGATACGATGCCAGGTGTTGAGTATTTGGAAATAACCGAGACTGATGTTTCTCACTAGGGAGGGGGTACAGGTGAGAATCACCTACTCATGGGGGCCCCTCTCAGGACCCTCCTCCATCCAGCCTGATAATTAAGACTTTTGGGGAGGTTGTCTGGGTATAAAGAGTTAGAAAACTCCCCAGCTGATAAGGATATGAAGCTCTGGTTCAGATGCAACGACCAGATTGGAAGTAGATTTGTCCAAATGTACCTCCAGTCCGATCTCTCTGGGGAAGTGTAGGCACAGTCTCCGGCTGGGATTCATGAATTCGTTCATTCATTCCAGTGGAATTTTTGTGTTCTTGCCAGGTGCCATGCCCTGTTCTAGGCATTAGGTTGCAGACCCGGCCTTCCTGGGGCTCTCACAGGGCACCACTCCCATTCCCTGCTCCCATTTCATTCTCTTAAAAGCCCAACGCCATATAGTGAGCCAGTGACCAGGCTGGTACCTCCCGGACCTCCTCTCCCTGCCCTCCCCTCTGCCCTGCTCCAGCTGCCTGGCTCCAACCTGTTCCTCCCATAAGCCTCTGCTAGTTGCTCCTTCTGGAATGTTCCCCGCAGAGGTTGCCTCTGCTCACTCTGTTGAGAACCACAGCCGTCCCCCAACCCCCAGCAATGCTTAACCTGCTCTTAGGCTTCTGCTCCTTAGCACTTACCACCTTTAACATTCTCTGTCACTTTGAGATTCCTGAGTCCATTGTTTGCTGTCCTCTACCTCCCCCACCAATTCTCTGGAATGTAAGCCCCTGGAGGACAGGGTCTTTGCTTTGATAATGAATGTAACCCAAGCATCTACAATAAATAAAGGGGTATTCAATAAATAAATATTTATTTAAATAGTGAAATATTATTTGCTTGAATGAATTAAGCAAATAATAACAATAATAACACCGGTGAGTGTAAAATTACACCTGTGGGAAGTGCTGGCTACCTAGAATGAGTGAAATTAACTGAGCTTCTCCCAGCTCATCAATGCTATAATTTTTACTTTTGTTTTTCTTTGAAACATCATTCACTGTTTACAATTATCCAGTGTGGCCAAGACCATTCCATTCTATTTTTGCGATCACTGTGCTTTTCCCACGGTCCTGGCCTCAGGAGAAGAGAGCGCGTTGAAGTCAGAGGAGCAGGCTTCGGAGAGCCCGCAGCCCAGGGCTCTCTGGCATCCCCACGAGTGAGGCCGGCAGGGGAGGATTGGTGGTCAGTCACGTATTCACTCAGCACGAGACACTGAGCCTGTTCAGAAGGCTGAGATAATGGGATTTCCGAACAATTGTAAAAATACCTAACATGCCAGCAGGGAGTTAAACAGCAGATTCACGAGATTCTGAGGCTTCTCTGACCCTTCACGGAAGCCAAGGGAGAGAGAATTCCAAGAAGAGCATGTTACAGCATGCCAGGTATTTTGAGGGGACAGTGCTTGTCATGAGCTGACCACAGTGACCCCATCCCCAGGATCCCAGCAGAGATGGGAAAAGTCACTACTCAAACAACCGAGGACAACCACATCAAATAATTAGCCCATCAAAGAGAAGATGTGTCAGTCAGAGCCCTGAAGATAGCCAGTCCTGTCCCAGCCTGGCCCAGAGAGCACAGATAACAGCAGCCTTAGTCTAGCCATCTGGATCCCTCACAGTCCCAAGGGTGGGGTGGGGGTGGCAGATTGTTGTGGGCTAATGCCTCCAGTCAGGCCCCTTTCTTCTGTCGCCACGCTCTCCTCCAGGCAGCTTTTGGCATCTGCCTTTTGGGAGTGAAGTGAGCATTCAGTATGTTGGTCAGGGTAACTCTGAGGGCTAGTCTCTGGTTTGGTGGAACCTGTCCCTTTCCCAAAGACCAGGGATGGGCTCCAGGAAAGCTGGGATAGAGAGCAGCCTGCGCTAAGGAAAGAGAGCCATCCTGTATTCTTTGGAGTAGGAGGGCACCTGCCAATATTTTTTTTGGTGCCCCAGCCACTTCTTGGTGCCCCAGAGGCACCATCCTTCTTTAAAGGCACTGGCGACAGTCCCTGGTAAGCAGAAATACGGTGGACACAGATGGCTTTGCTGAGGAGCCGGCCATGAGCACAGGGACAATGGAAAGAGCCTGGTGCAAGGTTCTCAGCGAGGGCAATGTGAGGCTGTCCACAGGAGTTTGCAGGGGAGCAGAGATGACAGAGATGCCAGGACAAGGAGGCTGCGGGAAGGAAGGCCAAGGAGGTGGCATGGGCTGGGTCAGAGCTGGCGCATTGCAGCAGGAGTGAGACGAGTTCACAAGGAGGAAGAAATGCCAGGAATCCCTTCTGCTGGCAGTGAATCCAGGCTAGAATTGTTGTTTGTGAATTTGATTTAGTCATCCCTGTCTCAAGTACCTTCTATGGTTCTGACACCCCTAGATCCCAGTCCAAATCCCTCGTTGCCCGCAAGGCCTCTACCACCAGCACTGATTTCCTTTCTTGGCTTCTTCCAAGCCTCAGGCCCTGTGATCCCTCCCCTTCCTTTCACTGCGGCTCCTTCCTTTATGCTTTTGCGCTTGTCTTTTGCTCTTTTCCCACCTTTCCTTCACAATAAAACACTACCACTTCCTGGAAGCCTTCCCGAAACACCCTGACACCCTTGTGACCCAGAGCGGCTCTTTGATCTGGGAGTATCCCTTCTTGAGCCATAGACACAGCAACATAGGTGATCCAAGGCCTCAGGTAATGCGCATGGAATGAAGAAGTCTTTTGTGAAGGCTGGAGGTCAGGGGAGCTTAGCTTCCCCATTCTCCTTTACCCAAGCTCGTGTAGACCTCCAATTAAAAGCCAGTCTCCCTAGATGCAAATGGAAAAGCAAAAAACGACAGTGCTAAGGTCAACATACAAAGAGCATACAGCAGGGAGGCCTGCAAAATCCCATCTCTGACCCCACAGTTCAGAGAGCAGGCCCCAGAGTAGGCTCGGGAGACAGCAGATCCACTGGGGATGAAAGAAGTCCATTAGGGACAAAAGGAGAAAATGCATCTCTCCATGTTATACATGCCTCTCATCCACTGGCACATTAAAGGCTCTGAAAAGTCCTGCAGAAAAGTGCCTGTTTGTGGAGTGTGTGATGCTCATTGACATTGCCCAGTGCTTTGGCATTGGACAGCCTTGAACCTCCTTCTCCTCTGATGTGCCCCATGACTTGAGTCAAGTTCCTTGGCTACTCTGAACCTCAGAGGCCTATTTGCAAAATAAGTTATTATGTGGTCAGTGAAAGCAAAGCGCTGGTTTGGCTGGGGTACTGGGAGGACAGAACAGCTCACAGAGGACACTCTTGTGGTTCTAACCATGTAGTATGGTCCAGGGCTCCTGGGACAGAAGCAGGAGTGAGCCATTTAGAGGGCATTATTCTGGGTTGTATACCCAGGACCCTGGCAGGAGCTGCATCCCCCTATCCAGCCAATGCGCATCTCACCAAAAAGCACCCTGCAGGCAGTAGGCATTTCCTGAAGCCCATGCTATCCTGGCCACCCTCTCTTCAGGCCCATCTTGTACCATTTGGCCCTCCACTCACTAGCCATGTAGCATGTCTGCTGTCCTCCCTGTGCCTTCCTCTCCCTCATGTCACTCTGGCTCATCCTTCTAGCCTCACTCTCCTTCTTTAACTGGACAAGTCAACCTGTAGGCCTTAGCTGAGATGGTCTTCCTCTGAGGTTTTCTGGCTGCCTCTAGATCACAGGTCTCTTTATGAAGCAGGGACCTCAGCTTCCTGCTCCACATATTATCAGCTTTCTATCGTCTACCTCCAGCCAGCTTGAGCTCCTCCAAGGCAGAGATGCTGTGCCATCTATGCCCAGCACAATATTAGAGAAGGGGCTGAAAACAGTCCTTGGACATGTGATTCTCTGTTCCCTATCGCTCTGGACCTGCTCCAGGTGCCCCCTCCCTCCCTTCTCCTGTGGGAAGCTGTAGATTGCATCATCCTGTTGCTGAAAGTGATGAATCACCTCTCACCAAGTCCCCACGTGGTAAAAATCTCTCTCCCAGGAGTACAGGGGAAGTGCCATACACTATGGCTTGGCGTGGTCATAGGGAGCAAGTGAGGGGGGCAGGGTGCCTGTAGAAGCGGGGAAGGGTTAGGGATCCCAGCCCCTATCCTGTGCACATTTTTGTTTTCTGCCAGCTGGAGCTGTGCAAAGGAGTGGCAATGTGGCCCTTACCTGAGGCAGGGCCTGGGAACTGGGCATCCTTGGAAGATGCTGAGCTGGGTAGTGGCGGGGATGGGGGAGGATGGGGCTCAGAAGCACAGCCCAACCCAGGCTATCTGACAAGCAATGGGGACGGGAGAGTCCCAGATAGCTGGTGAGGAGCCAGAGCGCAGGGTGGGCCCTCTCCTTAAGCCCGAGGTGGGAGGCAGGCAGCACTGACACAGGTATGGGTGAGGGCTGGGCCCAAAATGTAGCTCTGGGGCCTTCCAGCTTGGCCAGACCAGCCCAACGAGAAGCCAGGGCTGGGAGGGCCAGGCAGGTGGGGAAGGCTTGCAGGCCAGGCCCAATGCCTTGAGAAGCCAATGGGCTCCTAAAGGGTACTTCATTCTGGGTGAGGCCCAAGACGTAGTGGCCACACTTTCTCCCATGCCCAGGGATTCGGGGTCTAAGCAAGCCTGGGCCTGATCCCTGCCATGGTCACTGCGCAGCAGGGAGTCTCCTGGAGTGGGGCCCCGGGGTGGAGCTGCTCATGGGCAGCTTGCCTACTCCCACCCCTCTCTGTCTGTCCCAGCCCTCCTGTAGGTCATTTTTGAGAGCTGAAGGACACAGCTGCCAAAGAAATACCATGGGGCACAGCACTGTGGACCTTGGAGTGGAGGATGGTGGGGAAGACAGGGTGAGTCTGCAACTCTTCCAGAAATGCTAATCTCACCTTGCCACTCCCTGCTTGCAGCCCTTCCCTGGCACCCTGCAGGCACTCAGGGCGGCATTCAGCTCTGGCCTTGGCCTACATAGCCCTCCTGGATGGTCTCAATCCCCCTCCAGCTTCACCTTTCCTCTTCTCCACCTGGTGGGTCACTTTCCATTTCCCTCTGTCCTGAGTGCCTGAGTGCCTGGACATGGTACTCAAAGGCCACCCCAGCACCCAGCTAAGTCCTGCTTCCCCTCCACTTACTGTTCTAGCAATGAAGTGGCTCTGACCCCCATCCAGATTAGAAGTCACTCCCTGCCTGCCGTCCCACAGCTCCCACCTCTCCCCTGCCAACCCAGTGTACCACTGAGTGGGCCCATATGCCACACTCCTGATAAGTCACTGAGGATACCACAGTAATAGCCTCTGCCCAGCAATTTCCTTTTCAGCCTGCAGCTCCTCACATTCACCAGTCTGGTCACAGGGTTCACCCTGTTCTGCCAGATGCTGCCTCATCCAGCCTTCCTAAGTGTGCGTCCTAGCCACCCCGACTCCTGGGGGTCCATTGAGCCTAGGGGTGGGGCCTTGGTCACCGTGGGCATTATGAAGATGTCCAGGCCAGTGCTGAGATCTTTCCTGTGGCTGAGATTATGAGGGACTCTGGGTCCTTATTCTCTGTCCTGAGCCCCCTTTCCTGTGGGTTCCTCCCATTCCAGGCCTATCACCTCCCTGCATCCATGTCCTCTCTGCTCTTGGCTTCCTCTCCTGGGACACTCCTGGAGAGGCAGCCTGGCCCAGCTAGTTCCTCCCCTCTCCCTCAGCTTGTCTCAGATCAAGCTCTCCGGATCCGAGTTTGCTGCTTGTCCTGTGGCCCTTTTCTGAGATCTCCTCCAGTCTCTGGGGCTGTCCTGGCTTCAACAAGCACTGCTAGCTCTCCCTGAGGTATGAGTGAAAGCTTTTCAAGTGATCATTTATTTGCTAACAACTCTTATTTGCAGCCTCTGTCCCACACCAGGCCTAGGCTGGAGCTGGGGCTGCAGGGTGAACAAACCAGGCCCTGTCTTCAGAGTCTCACAGCATGGTGGGCAAACAATTCACAGAATCATGTGATCTATCACTGCAGGAGGCAGAACAAGGTGCTGTGGGGGATGAGGGGCAAATGGGATTCTATCTGGCAGAGCATCCGGGAAGATGTATTTGAGCCTTTGCAAACTCTCCAGCTATTTGACCTCAGCTACTTACCTGTTCACGCCACCTCCTGATGGCCTTTGTGGTGCTCACTGATCTCTGACCACAGCTTGAGGTACAAGTGTCCAGGAAATCCCTTTGCCTTGAGCTGACTGCCTGCTTTTGTGTCCCGCACATAGGCTCCATGTAGGCTGACCTCTTGGCTGCCCCTGGACTGGGGGCCCTTCTGCTTGGTGTACTAAGCCCCCAGCAGGGTGCCTGTCACTCAAGGACTGCTGGGGGAGAAAGAAGGGCTGTGATCTCTAGAAGGAGCATACCTCTGGTCCTGTGCAGCTGAGAGGGGCTCCATGAGGTCCTCCTCCTCTAAATGCTCTGTTTTCCTCCTGTATAAACCAAAGGGCTCACTTGTTGCTGCTGCTGCTTTTAAAATTGTAAGCAAATATGTTTATTGCCAGGGCAGCTTGCTTCAGGGTCTCACAAGAGCAGAGGGCATGGTGCCTACAGCAAAGCCAGTCCACCATGGGACTGCTGGCCTGTGCCTGCTGCTCAGTGGGGCAGGCAGGATATGCAGAGGGGCTGGCCTGTCCCCATGGTCCTGATGACGGGACTAGCTTCAGGAGAAGGTTGAGCTTGTTTGCATGGCAGAGCTCCTGCTGACTACCTTCAGGTGAGTATCCCGAGGTGCAGGGTGAAGGCTGTAGGTAGAAACTAGGTAATCGCCTTAGCATGCTGTAAGCAGCCTTCCCGGTGCCTGTGGCTTGCCTGGTACACCTCTTCCTACAAGTACCATGACGCTGGTCGCACCCAGCTCCTCAGCAACTCCCACTACTATCATGCTCTCAAGCCGTGTCCACAACGTCCTTCTGATCTGACCTTTGTCCTTCTCCACCTAAAACCTGAAAGCTCAGGAAATGCTCTGTTCCCCAGCAGGGTTGCGTCAATCCACATCCTCTGCCTTTATACATGCAAGCTGTTAGGGCTTCGTCCATCCCCCACATACCAACAGTCTCCTGGGACTCCCCCCAGGCCTGCAGTTCCCCTCCCAGCACCACTTGGGAGTCTTACCTAAGGCTCTGGATAGGCGCCTCATCCCCCTATGAGATGTTGGTGGACTCCCCTAAGGAAAGCAGAGCATGCCTGCTCTGCGCTACGACTGTGGCAGCCCCATCACCTGCCTGTCGTCTTCTCTGACACGCTGACTCTTCAGAGGAAAGGATCCATGTCTTCTCTGTTGTATCTCCAGGGCTTGGCAGGTGGAATTGCTCAATAAACATTCAACAAAGCAGCAGCTGTCTTAGTCAAGACTCCTTCGGTTACAAGTTTAGGCAAAAGGAAGTTTCTTTAGGAAAGTTCTTATTACAGCAGGGAGAGTGGGGTGCAGATGGGCCTCAGAGATGGCTGGAACCAAGGACTGACACCACACCCGAATTCACTTGCATCTTCTGCCCTTGCTCCGGTTCCTCCCCATGGTGAAGGACTTGACCATAAATGGCTCCAGAGCTTTCTGGCTCCAAATCAGTAGGTGAATTAAGCTACTTCTTTACAGTTTCACACTGAAAAATTTCATGGAAGAATGCTAACTGACCCAACTGGAGCCAATTGCTCACCCTTGGACCAATCACTGTGAAGAGAGTAACCAGGAATATGACATTTCCCATTCAAAGCTCGTGGTCAGAAAAGAGTGAAGAGTGGATCCTGGGAGATGGAGGATGCTGCTCTGGGCAGACAGAATGGAGTTAAATGTTACAAGAAGGAACAAGCAAGTAAATGAATGAGCCAAGAGCTACACATGTCCTTATAGACAATGACACAATTTCTGGAGTATTTGCAAATAATTCTCACTGGTTCTTACTGTAGCCCTATGAACCCACATCTCACAGATGAGGAAAGAGGGTCAGAGTTACAAGTGAAGAAAATGCAGCCAGGGTTCTACCCCCTGATGGCATATTAGCATGTGTTCTTGGAGGTTTTCCTCCCACAGAAGTGTGGGCAGCTAGACCTCTCCTGTGCAGTCACTGGAGGAGAGGGCAAGTGTTTGTCTGTGAGGTGGGGAAAAGGGACTCTGGCAAGGGTTAACTCAGCCCATTTCTGCACCAACTCTCATGTTGAGAAATCTTTTCTTGCCTCAGTCAGCATGAGAACATAATTGCTTCTTTGGGGATTTGAGACCATGCCATCCTTGGTTTAGGGTTAAACTATGATTATTTTAGCTTGTATCTGGAACCCTAAGGGCCCAGGACATCGGGTTCATTATCCAGAACCAGACACGGATGAGAGGTCCTTGACTTGGGACTTAGAGGGCAAGTGAGCAGCTCAGTTTTCACCTCTTACTAGTTCTCTGACACACACACCAGGGAATTCACTGCTTTCTCCTGTGTCTTTATTCTAACACGTGGCACTTGCTTCAGTGCCTCATAGTCAGGGGGCTATACCTGCTTTTTTATTATGAGATGGAGCCTTGTCCTCCTTTTATTCTGAGATGCTCTCGTCCTCCCCAGACTGGAGTACAATGGTGTGACTTTGGCTCACTGCAACCTCCACCTCCCGGGTTCAAGTAATTCTCCTGCCTCAGCCTCCCGAGTAGCTGGGATTACAGGAGGCTGCCACCATGCCCAGCTAATTCTTGTATTTTTAGTAGAGATGGGGTTTCACCATGTTGGCCAGGCTGGTCTTGATCCCCCCTGCCTCGGCCTCCCAAAGTGCTGGGATTACAGGTGTGAGCCACTATGCCCAGCCTAGACTTGCTTCTTAAGGTCAAGACCTAGATCTGTTTATCTTATCTATGAAGTCTGTGGTAGATGGTTTGCAAAGATGGCTTCAGTTACCCCTCCCATTCCTATGTGCACGCCCCTTTGCAACATAACTGCTACTTCTTCCTTGAAGAGGGCGAGCATCTTTCTCCACCCCTTGAATTTGGGCTTGCCTGTGACTTGCCTTGACCACTAGAATGCAGCAGCCTAGTCCTCAAGAGACTTTGCAGCTTTTGCTCCTGTCCTCTTAGGATCTGCCCATCTACATGTGAACATGCCTAGGCTAGGCTGATGGAGCATGACAGGCCATGTGGAGTAGACAAATACCATCCCAGTTGAGGCTCACTAGACTGACTGACTACAGCCAGCACCAAGTGTCAGACATATGAATATGACCATCTTGGACCTTGCCCCACAGTCAAGCCAGCAGAAGACTGCAGCCCCATGAATGCTCTCAGGGGAGACTAGCAAGAGAATCTCTCAGCTGAGCCCAGCGCGAATTGCTGACTTACAGAATTATGAGCAAATAAAATGGTTGTTTTCAGCAGCTAAGTTTTGAAGTGGTTTGTTACACAGTAATAGAAAATGGGCGAAGGGTAGTTCCTAGTTGTTGTATGTTGAATTGTCTCTTTCCAAAAAAATATGCTCAAGTCCTAAGCCCCGGTACCTGTGAATGTGACCTTATTTAGAAATAGGGTCTTTGCAGACGTAATCAAGTTGAGATGAGGTCATAGAGGATTAGGGTGAGCCCTAAATCCAATGACTGATGTCTTTATAAGAAAAAGGAGAGGGAGATTTGGATGCAGACACAGAGGAGACACGGGGAAGAAGGCTATGTGATGACAAGGGTAGATTGAAGTGATTCAGCTATAAGCCAGGGAATACCAAGGACTGCCAGGAGCCATCAGAAGCTAGGAAGAATTCCCCCTTTGCATCTTCAGAGGGAGCATGGCCCTGTGAACACCTTGATTTCAGACTGCCGGCTTCCAGACCTGTGAGAGAATACATTCTTGCTTTGAGCCACCCAGTTTGTGATCATTTGTTATGGCAGCTTGAGGAATTAACACAGGAGTCCAAAATTGTGCTCGGAAAGTGCTGGCTGGCTGAATGGAGAAGCTGAGAAGTGGAGGGTAATAAACTTGCACTTTTAGCACCTCGCCCCTTCACTGACTACAGTCACCATGCTGCTGGGTCACCATTTCCCGGGGCTTAGACACCTGCATCTTCTGCCCAGCCCTTGGGGCTCTGGCTCCATGTCTGCACACATACAAGAACCCAGGCACAGTGCTCAGGGCATTCTTTGTGTATGTGTATATACTTACATCTTTTTTTTTCTCCATATAAAAATAGCTTGTGAAAATCTAAATGAACTTAGAAAATATAGTGAAGTAGGCTGGACACGGTGGCTCAGGCCTGTAATCCCAGCAATCTGGGAGGCTGAGGCAGGTAGATCACTTGAGCCCAGGAGTTCAAGACCAGTCTGGCCAACATGTCAAAATCCCATCTCTACTAAAAATACAAAAATTGGCTGGGCATGGTGGTGGGCATCTGTAATCACAGCTACTTGGGAGGCTGAGATAAGAATCGCTTGAACCGGGGAGGTGGAGGTTGTGGTAAGCTGAGATCGAGCCACTGCACTCCAGCCTGGGCAACAGAGTGAGATTCTGTCTCAAAATATACACATATATAGCAAAGTAAAAAGAAGAAAAAAATACCCATAACTTTAACTTCCAGTGATAACCACTGTCAACATTTCATTTTTAAATCCTTATAGTCTTTTCATTTATACAAATACTGGCGTATGATTTTTTCAAAGCAAAAAATGGGATCATACTGTTGATCCCACTGTGCTGTTTTGTATCCTAGGTTTTTTACTTAATGATATGCCAAGGACATTTTTCTGTGTCAATAACTATGAGTCTGTTTATTCAGCACCTATTGAATACCCACTATGTGCAAAGCACTTTCCATAATGCCAGGATGCAATGAGAAAAAAGATAGTGCATTCACAGTCCCTGTCCTCATCCTTATGAAGCTGATAGGCTCCCAGGGGATACAGCCATCTAGCAAATAATCACACACATACCTTTTTGATTTTTTCAATTTTGAGATCATTTCAGACTTACAGAAGAGTTACAAAAATGATGCAGAGTTTTCACATACTTTTCACCCAGCTTCCCTGAAGATTAACACCTCACATAACTACACGGTATGACAATTCTGAAAACCAAGATATTAATATTGGCATAATGCTATTCAGTACAGACTTTTTTTTCTGCTTTTTTTTTTTTTTCCGGTTCTGGGCTCTGATGCTGTGTCTCACATTGAATCTGGTTGTCATGTTTCATCTCCTACAATTTGTGATAGTTCCTCAGTCTTTCCTTGTCTTTTGTGACCTTAAGGCTTTTCTGAGTACCGGGCAGTTTTTTTGTAGAACGCCCCTCAGTTTGGGTTTGTCTGATGTTTTCTCATGATTAGAGTGAGGTTATCATGCCTTCTGATGGACACCACAGAAGTGACGTGCTTTTCTCAGTGCCTCCTATCAGGGGTACATGATGTCAACACAACTTATTACTGGTGATGTTAACCTTGGTCACTTGGTGAAAGTGAAATCTGCTAGGTTTCTTTACTCTCAAGTTAATATTTTCCCCTTTGTAATTAATAAAAATTTGTGTTGGGGAAAATATTTTAAGACTATGTAAATATCATAGTTCTTAAATTTTCACCCACTAAGTTTAATATCCTTGGGTGGATCTTGCCTTCGGGAGCATCTGGTATTCTAACGGTGACTTTGTATTTCTTTCGATAGTCATTGAGTGGACTTCTTTTGTAATGGAGAGCTGTGACAGACGCTTCTTTAGTGACAGTAGTTAAGAGTTTTACAAGGATGCAAGGAGAACCCGAAGCCAGATAACCCAACTCAGGCTGTGGTAGTTGGGGAAATTTTCCCTGAAGAGGTGATGTTAATGCTAATTTTTGAAGAATCCAAAGGACTTGGTCGGGCACAGGGTTGGGGGTGAAGAGGAGAATGTTCTAGGCTCAGGGAAGAACGTGTACAAGATCTGTACTCATAGCTGACAGATACTGACATGAAACTGCATGAGTGACTGGCTGGGTAGAAACATTGGCCACCTGGAGGGACTTCCTCATCTGAAGGACGCAGCTGCTTCTTGCTCTAGCCAGAGTTATGTCAAGTGGAAATGAGGGTCTAGTGTTGCCAGAGTTTTTGATGTTTAAGAGAAGCTGGTCATCTGGATTTTTTTTTTCCATAAAACTTCTCAATCTTTTTAATATTAGCAAACAATCCCCTTCTCCTTCATAGCTAAACAAAACCTGTAAGCTAACAGGTTTTTTTTACCTGTGCATGGCTGAATCATAATTTATTTATTTCTCTCCTGGGGCTGTACCTTGAAGGTATTTTTTATGGTTCCCCATTACAAATAATTCTGTAATGAACATCCTTGGACAGACAACCTCAACAGTTTCTCTAGCTATGAAAGTTTGCACCAGACAGCCA